TGAGAATAGGCTACTTCCAACATAACCCACTAGAATTTTTGGCCCCACATTCCAACAGGATAAAGATTGAACAGCACATATACTGTTGCATATTATCAGTGTACTATGTCAGTTTGCTGGCCTCTGTTACATTGAACTACATGGAGATGAAAGTGATCCCTGAGGGACAGCGCCTATCAAATCCCATGGGATGACACATAGTTGCCATTAATACAAAATGTTGGAAATTTATATTTGTTCCCTTATCATTTGAATAAGATTAAAATGCTGACAAAATAGACAGAATGGTGCAAACTGTAATCTATAATCAGGACTGAATTAAGACATAGACCAGTGCCCAAAGACCTAGGTTCTGGGGCCATGTGATTATAATAGAATCTTGGTATTCATTTAAAAAAACCCACAAAAACCCTCTCCCCTTCCTTCCCATTGGCTGAGGATGGAAAACATGCAAACATGACTCAGGGACTCAGCTGTAGCTGATACAATATCTGCCTGAATCTGCAGAGAGCCTGAAATAACTGCTCTGAGATGTCTGAATTGCCTCATTCATCTTCCTAAGCTGCTAACTCAAATACCCACTGATTTGGAAGGCCCTGCCAAGACTAATTCAGCATATGACTCTGGGTATGGCAGGAGAAGAGCAGCGTGAACTCAGCCCACTCACCCAAGCAGACAAACCTTGAATGCTGCCGAAAGTACTGGGGGTCATCTTGCTACCACCTGGAGAGAAAGGAGTGGTGCTTCTGATAGGTGGGAGAAGGGACGAAAGAAGGAAACTCTGTTCCTTTGCTTTTGTTTCACTGATGTGTTTCTACTGCCATTCAAGTAGGGGAAAGAGGGCCATGGAGGAGCTCTGTGTTACATTGAACCTAGGCTCATGAATTGCCTTACTCTGGCTCACACTAATCTACCTAGTATTGCCGTTCATATAATACTGTATGTTTCAATCACACACATTTTTAGGTCCAGGACTATCTAGTTATAAAAGGCCAGATTCTCTACTGGCCTACATCCATTGACATTAATGGAATTAGATAACAAAGAATTTGGTCCCAATTGTTCTAAGGATTGCATCACAGGGCGTGTCTAGACTACAGGGTTTTGTCGACAAAAGAGGGCTTTTGTCGACAAAACTATACCTGCATCTACACTACTGCTGCGTTCTGTCGACAGTAAGTCGACAGAACACGGCAGTTTTGTTGACAGCGGTAAACCTCATTCTATGAGGAATAACGCCTTTTTCCGATAGTACTCTGTTGAAGAAAAGGTGCTATTTGATGCAAACTGTGTTTTTTCGAAAGAGAGCATCTAGACTTTTTCGAAAAAGTGGCTTGCTTTGTCGACAGTACTGGTTGTAGTCTAGACACGCTTTTTCGACAGAGGCTTTGTTGACAGTATCTGTCGACAAAGCCTCTGTCGAAAAAGGCAAGCAGTCTAGACGTACTCACAACTATTAACTTGCTTTTCGCAAGGCCGTATTAATGTATTAAAGGTAGCTCATCCACTTTAAATTTGACCCATGTTTAAATTTTGTAATACATTAGCCTTATAAAACTTACCAACTACAGAAATGCTTCCCCAATTATTTTTGAATTCTACTAAAACATGTCTGAAAAAAACAAAATACACTGCAGAAGGATTATTATTTGTTAAAAAGGAAACATGGTGGCCCTAAGAACCTGGAAGGGAGACTGACTTCATTGACTTTTGCTGTCCAAGCTAAGAGAAATGATTCCATTCTAATTAGTTAAAACTCCATCTGCTTAGCTTTAAAAAAACATAAACATCAATGTTCCCTACGTCTATACATTTGTGAAGAGAGAATTTTAATAATATGTCTTTAAAATGCTGGGTTAAAATAACATAACTTAGGCAAAAGGTTAACACCTACTCCCCTGCGCCATAATTACTATCCTGTTCCCTTCTACAGATTTTTGAGCTGGTGGATGTCAAATGTGTATCTGATCCTGTTAATGCTGGTTTGGAATTCTGAAGTGCAACTTGGACGAGTAATTTTTTCCAGGTAATCAATTTCCCCAGTGATCAAGGACTTGGATAATTGTTATAACAATAATCATTCTTGTAAATATTGGGCATGATTGTTCAGGTTCATACATGTTCAATGCTTGCAACACCAGCACTACTATATTTTCAGTGGCTGCTTTAAATGATTTGTTTTGTTTTTTCTAGTTCTAAAATGCAATAGTCTTGTGGCAGACATTCCTAGAGTCAATAGAAAGTTGTGCAAAATCTGCTACTTTCAGTTCACCAGGAATTGAAATCTTTTCTTTGTTATATGCAATATTGTAGCCATGTTGATCCGAGGATATTAGAGAAACAATGGGCGGTAGTTATTATCTTGTAAAGATATTAGCATTACCCCTCCCATGTGGCCTCCTCCTGGCCCGCTGTTCCTGGGGTTGGGGAGGCATGGGCTGGCTCCCGCCCTGCTGTTCTTGGGGACGGGGAGGCTTGGGCCATGTGGCCTCTTCCCTCCCTGCTGCTCTGAGGATGCTGGGGTGTGGTGCTCTTCTCCTCCCCAGGGTGGGGGAGGGGCATGTGTATGTGGCTTCCTTCCTCCCTGCTGCTCCCTGGGGCGGGGAGGCTGGGCCGTGTGTCCTCTTCCTTCCCTACTGCTCCAGGGATACTGGGGCACACACACTCATGCTCTTCTCCTCCCCATGGTGGGGGCCGGGCCTCAGTGGAGGGGGTGCGGCTGTAGGTGGGGCTGGGGGCCTGCGTCTCCCTAGAAACTTCTCAAGTCTTCTCAGATGTTCTCTGTGACAGACGGTGTGACAGAAACCTCTCCTTCTATAACAGCATAGGAAATTACCTCACCTACCTTGTCTCTCTTTTGGTTGTGTCCGTTGCCTGAGTTCGTGTGACTTTACCACCATCACCTCTTCCCAATATTTCACTTTGAGATTCTTTGAACCTCAAAGTCAAATAATTTTGCCCTGGATTCATTGCGATTTCTACCGGATACTGCATTTAGTTTGCCATATTGTTACCCAATCACTTAGTTTTGTGAGATTTTTTTGAAGCCCTTTACAGTCTGCTTTGATCTTAACTATCTTGAGCAGTTTAGTGTCATCTGCAAATTTTTCACCTCACTGTTTACCCCTTACACCAGATCATTTATAAATAGGTTGAATAGGATTGGTCCTAGTACAGACCCTTGGAGGACACCACTAGTTACCTCTATCCATTCTGAAAACTTATCGTTTATTTCTACTCTTTGTTTCCTGTCTTTTAACCAGTTATCAATCTACGAGAGGACATACGCTCTCATCCCATGACAACTAACTTTACTTAAGAGCATTTGATGAGGTACCATGTCAAAGGCTTTATTGAAATCTAAGTACTCTATATCCTCTGGATTCCCCTTGTCCACGTTTGCTGACCCCTCAAAGAACTCTAGTAGATTAGAAAGGCATGATTTCTCTTTACAGAAACCATGTTGACTTTTCCCCAACAAATTATGTTCATCTATGTGTCTGACAATTTTATTCTTTACTATTGTTTACTAATTTGCCCAGTACAGATGTTAGACTTACCAGTCTGTGATTGCCAGAATCACCTCTATAGCTCTTTTTAAATATTGGTGTGACATTAGCAATCTTCCAGTTATTAGGTACAGAAGCTGATTGTAAGGAGAGGTTACAAACCACAGTTAATAGTTCTGCAATTTCACATTGGAGTTCTTTAATTTGACAAAGCTCCTTTCTATTTTCCTCACTAGGATTTAACTTCCACTTTTTAAATGATGCCTTTTTATCTCTCACTGCTTCTTTTACTTGGTTGTTAAGCCACGGCGGCACTTTTTTGGTTTTCTTAATGTGTTTTTGAATTTGGGGTATGCATTTAAATTGGACCTCTACTACGGTGTCTTTGAAAAGTTTCCATGCAGCTTGCAGGGATTTACTTTTGTCCCTGTACCTTTTAATTTCTGCTTAACTAACCTCATTTTTCTGTAATTTCTCTTTCTGAAATTAAATGCCACAGTGTTGAGCTGCTGAGATGTTTTTCCCACCACAGGGATGTTAAATTTTATTACATTATGGTCACTATTTCCAAGTGGTCCAGTTATATTTACCTCTTGGGCCAGATCCTGCACTCCACTTAGGACTAAATCAAGAATTGTCTCTCCCTTTGTGTGTTCCAGAACCAGCTGCTCCAAGAAGCAGTCATTTAAGGTATCAAGAAATTTTATCTCTGTATCCCATCCTGAGGTGATGTGTACCCAGTCAATATTGGGTAGTTGAAATCCCCCACTATTATTTTTTTATTTTGATAGCCTCTCTAATCTCCCTCAGCATTTCATGAAGAAACTGTGCTGGAACAGTTTTATAGTGAGGGTGATAAGAGCCACTGAATCTAACTGTAAACCCTATCCAGGCAGTCCCTGGGTTACGTGGATCCGACTTACGTCAGATCCCTACTTAAGAACGGGGTGAGGGAACCCCGAACTAGCTGCGCCCCCCCCAGCGGACCGCTGAGACGCGCCGCGGCGGTCCCGCCGCCCCCGTCCTCCACGGCGAGAAAAGCCTGGTCTGTATGTTGGGATCCGACATAAGTCGGATCCACGTAACTCGGGGACTGCCTGTACTTTTTATGGCATCCTCAATTTTTTTAAACCTCTCAGAATTAAAGGTAAATACAACTTCTTCTCTTGACTCTTCCTGACACTAAGTCTTACTATAGGTTTCTTCTCTAGCACACAGAATTTGTGATTAAAAAAAAAAGATTTGTAAATAGGCATGTGATCTAAATATTTGGAAAAAATGATTTAGAACCTTAATGCCAAGTAAAATCCTTCCATATGGTCAAACTTTTAACTGTACCCAGGGGCCCCCAGAGTCAGTCAGTACTAAAATTCACTTCTTGTTGACTGATGCCAGAGATCTGTCAAGATTGAGGGCATTACTGAGATATCAACTCTGAGACAAGCTACCACTGTATGTCAAACATAGGCATCGCTCTCTCTCCCCACCACCATGGGTACAGAATTGCAGCTCTTTTACAGTTATTTTTCCACTCCAGCTCAGCGTCAGAAGGCAGGGGGGTCACTCAAACCACAGTGGCCTTGTGCAGCCCCCACACCCTCTTTAGTTGGATAACTGATTGAACATTATGTTTAATTGGCTACCAGTTAAACAGGATTTTATATACCTTTTATAGAGGTGTGAAAAACTTTTTTGGGGTCAGAGGCCACTGACCCACAGAAAAATTATTCAGGGGCCACAAAAAAGTGAGAAGCAAAATAAAAAATAAACCCTGACAGAGAAGCAGAAAGTAGGCAGCCCCCCGGCTGCTCTACCTCAGGTGTCCCCAAGTCAGCTGCTGCTGAAACTGATCAGCGGCTGATTCCAGGAAGCCTGGGGCAAAGCAGCTCTGCCTCGGGCTTCCTGTAGTCAGCTGCTGGTCAGTTTCAGCAGCAGCTGAATCGGGGACAGCTGGGGTACAACATGTACCAGTTCCGACTTACATACAAATTCAACTTAAGAACAAACCTATAGTCCCTATTTTGTACATAACCCGGGGACTGCCTGCATATCAGGGCTACTCAACACGCGGCCCACAGGTGGGATCCTTTGAACATGGCCTCCACTGGGAACATGCACCACAACGGCAAGGCATCTGTGTGGGGGTTGTGTAGCTTTGTGAGAGCTGTGCTGTGGGGTGTAGCAGTGTGAGAGCTGTGCGGTGGGGTATAGCAGTGTGAGAGCTGTGCGGTGGGGTGTAGCGGTGCGGTGGGGTGTAGCTGTGGGGTGTAGCGGTGTGGTGGGGTGTAGCTGTGGGGGTGTACCGGTGGGGTGTAGCGGTGCGGTGGGGTGTAGCTGTGGGGTGTAGCGGTGTGGTGGGGTGTAGCTGTGGGGGTGTACCGGTGGGGTGTAGCGGTGCGGTGGGGTGTAGCTGTGGGGTGTAGCGGTGTGGTGGGGTGTAGCTGTGGGGGTGTACCGGTGGGGTGTAGCGGTGCGGTGGGGTGTAGCTGTGGGGTGTAGCGGTGTGGTGGGGTGTAGCTGTGGGGGTGTACCGGTGGGGTGTAGCGGTGCGGTGGGGTGTAGCTGTGGGGTGTAGCGGTGTGGTGGGGTGTAGCTGTGGGGGTGTACCGGTGGGGTGTAGCGGTGCGGTGGGGTGTAGCTGTGGGGTGTAGCGGTGTGGTGGGGTGTAGCTGTGGGGGTGTACCGGTGGGGTGTAGCGGTGCGGTGGGGTGTAGCTGTGGGGTGTAGCGGTGTGGTGGGGTGTAGCTGTGGGGGTGTACCGGTGGGGTGTAGCGGTGCGGTGGGGTGTAGCTGTGGGGTGTAGCGGTGTGGTGGGGTGTAGCTGTGGGGGTGTACCGGTGGGGTGTAGCGGTGCGGTGGGGTGTAGCTGTGGGGTGTAGCGGTGTGGTGGGGTGTAGCTGTGGGGGTGTACCGGTGGGGTGTAGCGGTGCGGTGGGGTGTAGCTGTGGGGTGTAGCGGTGTGGTGGGGTGTAGCTGTGGGGGTGTACCGGTGGGGTGTAGCGGTGCGGTGGGGTGTAGCTGTGGGGTGTAGCGGTGTGGTGGGGTGTAGCTGTGGGGGTGTACCGGTGGGGTGTAGCGGTGCGGTGGGGTGTAGCTGTGGGGTGTAGCGGTGTGGTGGGGTGTAGCTGTGGGGGTGTACCGGTGGGGTGTAGCGGTGCGGTGGGGTGTAGCTGTGGGGTGTAGCGGTGTGGTGGGGTGTAGCTGTGGGGGTGTACCGGTGGGGTGTAGCGGTGCGGTGGGGTGTAGCTGTGGGGTGTAGCGGTGTGGTGGGGTGTAGCTGTGGGGGTGTACCGGTGGGGTGTAGCGGTGCGGTGGGGTGTAGCTGTGGGGTGTAGCGGTGTGGTGGGGTGTAGCTGTGGGGGTGTACCGGTGGGGTGTAGCGGTGCGGTGGGGTGTAGCTGTGGGGTGTAGCGGTGTGGTGGGGTGTAGCTGTGGGGGTGTACCGGTGGGGTGTAGCGGTGCGGTGGGGTGTAGCTGTGGGGTGTAGCGGTGTGGTGGGGTGTAGCTGTGGGGGTGTACCGGTGGGGTGTAGCGGTGCGGTGGGGTGTAGCTGTGGGGTGTAGCGGTGTGGTGGGGTGTAGCTGTGGGGGTGTACCGGTGGGGTGTAGCGGTGCGGTGGGGTGTAGCTGTGGGGTGTAGCGGTGTGGTGGGGTGTAGCTGTGGGGGTGTACCGGTGGGGTGTAGCGGTGCGGTGGGGTGTAGCTGTGGGGTGTAGCGGTGTGGTGGGGTGTAGCTGTGGGGGTGTACCGGTGGGGTGTAGCGGTGCGGTGGGGTGTAGCTGTGGGGTGTAGCGGTGTGGTGGGGTGTAGCTGTGGGGGTGTACCGGTGGGGTGTAGCGGTGCGGTGGGGTGTAGCTGTGGGGTGTAGCGGTGTGGTGGGGTGTAGCTGTGGGGGTGTACCGGTGGGGTGTAGCGGTGCGGTGGGGTGTAGCTGTGGGGTGTAGCGGTGTGGTGGGGTGTAGCTGTGGGGGTGTACCGGTGGGGTGTAGCGGTGCGGTGGGGTGTAGCTGTGGGGTGTAGCGGTGTGGTGGGGTGTAGCTGTGGGGGTGTACCGGTGGGGTGTAGCGGTGCGGTGGGGTGTAGCTGTGGGGTGTAGCGGTGTGGTGGGGTGTAGCTGTGGGGGTGTACCGGTGGGGTGTAGCGGTGCGGTGGGGTGTAGCTGTGGGGTGTAGCGGTGTGGTGGGGTGTAGCTGTGGGGGTGTACCGGTGGGGTGTAGCGGTGCGGTGGGGTGTAGCTGTGGGGTGTAGCGGTGTGGTGGGGTGTAGCTGTGGGGGTGTACCGGTGGGGTGTAGCGGTGCGGTGGGGTGTAGCTGTGGGGTGTAGCGGTGTCCGGCATCGTGGTGCCCTGTAAGGACGGGCGGCTCCGCGTCCGGGACCTCACCCGGCAGGCCCTGCAGCGATACCTCCGGACCCAGGGCAAGGTAAGAGCCGCGAGCACGCGCGGCCCGGCGCCGGGTTATGAGGTAAAGTAGCTGCCCCTGGGCGCACGGACACTGAGGGGGCTGCAGTCGGAGGGGCAGATGGCTGTGACCGGCCTAGTGACTCTGCGGGTCACAACGAGTTGCCGCTTCTTCCTTTGTACCTAGAAGTTGGGTTCACCAGTTGTTATAGTCAATAACACCCACAAGCCAGCGGTGTGAGCAGCACTGCCAGATAGCTGTCTGTAGGAACAGTTCGCACTAGTTAACTCCCTACCTTACGTACAATGGCTCACCCTCTAAATGGTTCCAGTGTCTAGTGTGTTGTGCACAGTGGCTGTTCTGCAAATATAGAGGCATCGCGATGGTATTACGTGCCTGGGGGCAAAGGCAAAATTTGCACACCTTCCTGCCTGCCGCAGGGCTCCCAACTTGGCACACAGCTGAGCCTGACCCGGGGCACAGGAGCTTGTACCGCGTCTTCCCCCATCCCTTCTAGTTGGGGACCAGGCCCCCGCATGCACTAACCAGCCTGTGGAGATGGAAGAGGGTCGGGCGGCGGAGGAGCAGGCAAGTTGAGGGATGACAGGGAGCAGAGAGGGACTAAATTGGCATGTTGGCTTCCCCACCCCTCCAGCGTGACATCTGGGATCACTATGCGCAGGGCTCGACAAATCACTGTTCCTACTCGCCCGTGGTGAGTAGATTTCAGCTGGTCGCTCCGTTGGCCGGCGCTGCGCGCATGCACAGTCCCAGTCTGGTGCATGTGCGGTGCAGGGCTGGCAAGTAGATCTCGCCACGGTTTGTCGAGCCTTGACTATGCAAATATAATTACTTTATCCACAATAAAGTCTATGTAATATGGTAAGAGATTGGCTCAGACCTTGTGATCCTAGGGATATTGCATGAATAGTGATGGCACCATGTTTATCAAGGCTTCTTTAACTGGTTTGGTTGAGATTAAAAGTAGTAGAAATGGCCAGCGAATAATTCCTCTGGTAGTGACCAATAATTTCTGTTCAAAGACCTGATTCTTGTAAACTCTAATTCAGATAAATAGTTTGTTTTTTCATGGAGACGGTTCCCACGAGACTACTGCCATAAGTAAGGGCTTGCAGGATTGGATCTTCAGAAAGTTAAAGGATTCAGAGTGCAAAAGGGCAGTCATATCCAGGAGGCTTGGTTACTTCTCTATTGCTGAGTCTGTGACTTTGCCCAAAGTGTATGACTTCTCTGCTTTTTTTTTTTTTTTTTTGCTTGCCTCATGTAAAATTAGAATTCTAATATTTACCACCCCCTCACAAGAGTATTTTGATTATTAATGTATGAAAACTTCTATTGAAGTGCTATGTTTATTATTGTATTTTGATTATTAATGTTTGAAAACTTCTATTGAAGTGCTATGTTTATTATTGTACAAATCTGTATTAAACATGATAGAGGTTACAGTGACTTCCATGTTTGGCTACGCAAGCACCTGTAGTACTTTGCCTAGTATGTAAAATACTTCCTGATGCAAGATCTCTGTTCTTTCTCTTTCTATACACACTGGTACACCATGTGTATCTAAATATTCACTTGTATGGAAATTAGCAAATATTATTTAGACTGGACTATCAATGGGGATAGCTCAAACTGTCCAAATATACATGAACTTCACATTAATACTGAGACTTTATAATAAACAAAATGACTTTTGGCATAGTTAAACTTTTTTTTAACTCGCTTCAGCTCTCTACTTATGGTGGTGAAGTTTGGACTAAAACGCTGAGTTATCTGAACAGCTAATGAGGAAAGGCTTCAAGGTGACCTGCAAAACTTGCCTTGTGCTCTCTTCTTGCTGCTTTGTGGTGTTTAAAGACGTCCCAAAAGAAATAAAAAGGAAAAACCCATATTCTAGAAATGCAGATTCTGCCTAGTCAAGAAGTCTTCCTATGGTGGCTGGAGAATTAATGAAATTACTTAGCTGTTCTTATGTTCTCCATTCTGAATACTTACACTGGATCAAACCAAAAGTCCATGTAGCCCAGTATCCTGTCTTCCAACATTGACCAATGCCAGGTACCCCAGAGGGAATGAACTGGGTGGTTAACTGATCCCTCCCCTGTAACCAATTTCTAGCCTCTGAAAAACAGAGGCTAGGGGCACCATTTCTGCCCACCCTGGCTAATAAGCAGTGATGGACCTATCCTCCATGCATTTTCTAGTTCTTTTTTTGAACCCTGAAGACTGAACAACTGAGAGGGGAAAGGAACTTTTAGCCAGATGGTCAAACTTTTTTTTCTTCTTCAATACCTAACTAGCTAATCAAGTGAGACAGGGTGGATGAGCTGCTATCTTTGTTTGGACTAACGTTTCTGTTGGTGAGAGAGACCAACTTGGAGCTTACACAGAACTCTGTAGTATGAGGCTGCAGCAACATTGTATATAATTAAATAATATTTATTTTACATTCAGTACCTCTGCCTCCTTAGGTTAAGCTGTGAGAACAGACACTGCATTCCTTTGGAATATCTAGAAGGGGACTGCTTCAGTCCACCCGGGCCTGCTGTACTGTGGGCTCCTCCTGCCAGGCCAGGCATCGTGGGTGGGGGGGCCTATTTGGCTGGGCTTCTGGTTAACCAGTTATTGGGTAAGCATACTAGTAATGCTGATGCTTACTAGGTAAAAGGTTAACCCTTTACATCGCTACTGTCAAGTTGGGCAATTGGGCTGAGGCAAGGGACAGAAGTACTGTATGTAGTGTTGGGATAGGGGAGGATAAAAATAGACACAGGAGCTGAGTATATCAGGGTTACAGAATGAGAAGTGAATAAATCAGAAAAGAGCCCCCCCTCCCTTTTTTTTTAAATGAATGTGATAGTTAGTCTTCATAATGTGTAGGTAAGGTTTTCATTCCATGTTGGGGATTCTATTGATATGAACTGACAACTTGACTTTTGCATTCACTTTTTTTTTTAATCTTGATACATTGACTTGATGTAATTCCAGTTTTTGATAATGCTGAGGGCAGTGGGATAGTGTTGATACTATAGTACTAGGTATAAGTACACAGAGGAAATCTTAATTTGCACACAACAATAACACAAGCACATATTGCCTTATATTGAAGGTTTATTTGAAATATATTGACTGAGATGATGCAAAAGTCTCTTGGGGTTTGTCAAAAGTATATATCTGACACTGAAACATTTTGCATATTTGCCAGAAGTGTGTTCTCTTTTTTTTTTTTTTAAGGTGGGGGAACCCACCTTAAAATCTAAATGTTCTGACACTTTTTTTTAAAGACGACAAGGAGTCCTGTGGCACCTTATAGATTAACAGGTGTATTGGAGCATAAACTTGCATCTGACAAAGTGGGTCTTTGCCCATGAAAGCTTATGCTCCAATACATCTGTTAGTCTATAAGGTGCCACAGGACTCCTTGTCGCTTTTGCAGATCCAGACTAACATGGCTACTCCTCTGATTGTTTTTTAAAGAAGTTTTTTTTTTTTAAAAATTCTAAGTGAATTTTTGTTCCAGGATTTTCATATGTTGGATAAAAGTACTCCAACACTTTAACATAGTCAAAATCCAAATGTTTAGTTTGATCCTGAATAACGATTTCCCTCCACACCCGAATTGCCAGAAATGGAAAATCTGTTATTTGCCTATAATGAGCTAATAGTAACCTGAGTCACTTTTCTGAATCTTTTCCCAGTGATGTGGGAGATTTTATCTTTTTTCAGGGCACAGGGGGAATTCTGGGAAGGTAACTTAGGAACTCACAGCACTTGAGCAATATTAGCCTATGTCTAGACTGTACAATGTTTGTATTACCAGCTGATGTGCTGTGCTCACTTAAGTTTTAGCCAGTTCCTGCTTTGATGTCAGTCAACTTGAGTTAAAAACCCAGTGTACTTACATTTAGAGGTTTTTGCATGTGGAGGGAACTGAAGTTAGGGGCAATGCTTCAATTATGTCTTGTGTTGCCTTCATTGCAAAAGGAACTCCTTATTTAAGGCCGCACATTAAAATTTTAACTATGTATTGCTTTGTCTCTTAAATCAGGCTTTTAATGGTATTTTAACTTGATAAAATACTGAGCTTCTGTTGTCATATGTTCAGTAGAAAGGAACAGCAGTGAGCCTGCAGAATGAAATGACACCTCTTCTTTTAGACAGTGACATTTACTTTATCTCCCTTTGAAATAAAATGTACAGCATTCCTTTAAATTGTCCTCACTTTCATAAAAGAACAGTCAAGCTATATAATAGAAAAGAACCTTGCATGCAGACATGATCATACTCTGTTTGAATGCGTGTCAGTCCTTCAATATAGAAGTTTCAGAGGGGAAGCCGTGTTAGTCTGTAACTGGAAAAAAATGTAAAAAAACAGCGAATAGTCCTGCAGCACCTTAGAGACTAACAAAAAATGTAGATGGTATCACAAGCTTTCATGAGCACAGCCCATGAAAGTTGTGTCCACAAAAACTCATGATACCATCTACATTTTTTTTGTTAGCCTCTAACAAACCATACCAAAAATACTAATTAATTCCACAAAGGTAAACTCCTTGATTACCGAAACTCCTTGGATTTGAATCAGTAACATAGCGGAGAAGGCAATACAATGGTCACACATTTTGATAAGCAATAGTGATTTATTGACTGACTTTCAGCAGAGTGCTAGTGATACACAAATACTTAGAGCTATGGTGACTAACGGGCTAGCCATTGGCCAAATGTGGCTATTTGGTCAGTTGTGTGGGGCTTGTTCGCTATAGCAGTAGCCGCTCTAGTGACTACTGCTTCAGATTTGGATGCCATGGATTTAGAGGGTTAATATTGTAGATGGATTGTCACCTTCCCTTTTTTTTTTTAAATAATAAAATAGTACTTTAACTTCACACACATCTCTGTGCTCATGCGTGCCACATAACCCAGCAATCACAGCTTTTGGAGCAGTATCTAGCTGCTGCTAAGCAGCCAGCAGAAGGAGTACTAAATGTTCTTTTGCAGTT